TTTTAACTAAATATTCTTCTGAATTTGAACAACATAAAATACAAAATGAATTCATCAGTTGGAAAAGAAGAGTATATAATGGAGGGACATGAGATAATAGTCTGAAAAAATATGAATTTATTACTTTATAAATTAGGCGCGCCCAAAGCGCTTTTCTAGATTTACCTTCTTCAATTTTAAACGCTCAACCACAACATTGAAAGCCAATTCTTTGTCGGAACTCATGGACGGTTCCGGTGAAACACGCACCGTCCAGCTCCTCGTGTTAGCAAAAACATGGAGATTATGTGTGGAGGAATAAAGCTTTACCGGTATATCTATCTCTCTCCCAATTTTTTTTTTTTTTTGCAGAATTCTGTTGCTGGTGCTTCGTCCATGATCTGGCTTCTCTAATTTCGAATGACGAAATCAAACGTCACGTGCCAACAACCTTTTTACGTTCACATATAATGCAAGACAATTAACCTGGACTCACCTCAAGTTATCTACAGATAAAATGAAGAGTACTTTTAATCGGGGATTAGACGTTTACACTGCCAAAATTTTCCAAGCTGAGCCAATTCGGATAGAACCCGAATTAAAATGACAAAGTTTAAATTGGGTACGACCAAAAATTATGAAGTTAATATGTTATGCAAATCTGAATTTTTCTCAATAAATATAAATTATTTTCTTATACCAACTTTCGAAGTGCTTTTATAATGTCAGATTTCTTGGTAAAAAATTAGTGGAGCACTTACCTCAGTGCCTCAATAGAATTCGAGCCAAGTCAATGCTCCGACAGGCACATGCAGATTGTGGTGGGATTTTAACATGTTTATAAGCGCTCAACCCTACCCTTACCTCGCCTAGGACAGAAGTGTAATAGCACAACATAAGAACTGTAAAAATAAGTTGGAAATGACTTGCACTTATTAAAGAATGGAAACCATTGATTGAGATTGATTGATTGATTGATGCTTGTAAACGTCAGGTGGGAAATATTGTATTCACATTCTGGACAAAAACAAATTAAAAAATTAAACGATAGGTAGATTTTTCAAGGTACACTGTAGGTCAACCGGGAGGATGGGCGGAATATTTGGACAGCTACTGGTAAATGAGAGTTTGTTGGATATGGACAGAACCTGATCCTTAAAACAGAACAACTGCCATAACACAGAAAGTTGTTTCAAGTCTATTTGGCGTGGATAGACGGCGGCTTTTTCTCTGAATTAAACATTTGAATCAACGTCTTCAAACGTCCTGCACATCAAAGAATTTAAAAGTGTTTACAAAGATAAACTAATTTACATGTTGTATAGTCAAGCGCGCGAAAATCTACAGCAAGAAAATAACATTCGAGTCAAATGTAGACTGTTTGCTTTTGACACGGGTTATGTTCTTCTCATATATTTTATGACGGTATAATTCTAAACCCCTAACAGGAGGGATTGTGCCTGATATTCATATGATGAAGACATAATCTTTCAATCAGTTTAATTGAGGCCTGGAGCTGGCATGTCAGTAACTGCTAGTAGTCTGTTGTTATTTATGTATTATTGTCATTTTGTTTATTTTCTTTTGTTTCCTATTCTGACATCGGACTCGGACTTCTCTTAAACTGAGTTTTACTGTGCGTACTGTTGAACGTTTGTTTTTTCTACATTGGCTAGAGGTATAGGGGGAGGGTTGAGATCTCAAAAAACATGTTTAACCCCGCCGCATTTTTGCGCCTGTCCCAAGTCAGGAGCCTCTAGCCTTTGTTAGTCTTGTATCATTTTAATTTTAGTTTCTTGTGTATAATTTGGAGTTTAGTATGACGTCCATTATCACTGAACTAGTATACATATTTGTTTAGGGGCCAGCTGAAGGACGCCTCCGGGTGCGGGAGTTTCTCGCTGCATTGAAGACCCATTGGTGGCCTTCGGCTGTTGTCTGCTCTATGGTCGGGTTGTTGTCTCTTTGACACATTCCCCATTTCCATTCTCAATTTTATGTTTGCTTTTCTATTATATATTTGATTGTAACTTAACATATAGCGTTTTGATGTATGGAAGGAATAGATGCACGACGATATTGCATTATGAATGCACTGAATTTAGCGCTAAAAAGGGAAAGGGGATACTCAGCATTTAAGAAAATCAGGCTTTCTGTCTCCTCGTGTCTATTTATAGCTTAAACAATAAGCACTTGGCCCTGTATTTTGTCTGATGCAATCGACCGTACACTGCTTATAGAATGTTATATCAACGTTGCAAGAAAAAACCGACGGTAGATTTTTTTGGAATGCATTTCAAGTCGTATTTGCAAGAAAATTGTCTACGGCTTTTTACACACACAAATTATCATATTCAGCCTTCATTATAGGACTTACTTGAATCATATAAATTTAGGAACATTCTTCAAAAACCGGGTAACAATATATCTCTGTTAGTTTGAAAGTTTTGTTATTTTTGAGGAAAAGTATTGAAAAATGAACTAGTGTGTATTTACATAAAAAAAAAAAAAAAAAAAGTTTTTAGACTGAATATCTCGAAAAGTAAGCCTTGAGGGATATTTTACTTTGCATATTACACTACTGCATATTGAAATTGACTTAGTGTTAAAAAGTTTAGGAAAATAAAGTAGAGATCTTTTCGGTATCGCGCTAGGGACATATGTGTGACTCGTTAAACAAGGACACATTTCCAAACAAACTAAAGAAAAATCACAAACTATTACTATATGCATACTAATTTTTATATATATTTAGGATCCTTTAATTCAAACGAATAGCGTCATCATGATAGATCTGACGTAAGGTTAAAATGGAAGGGATAATAGCTTTGAAAATAAGTCTTCAAATGCGTCAATTTTTAGGTTCTGGAAGGTAAGGGGATTTCCAAAATTTGTTTATAATTATGACATAATGGTATTTGAATTCAAATCTCAATCATAATAGTTATTTGTTGTAATTAAAAGGTTGAAATATAGAACAAAATGTTTTCATTTTTGATGTGAAGCATACAAATTGATTTAACCGGAAAGAAAAGAGGTTTTTTGTTATTATCTATGCAACGGGCACGTTCCGACTATCATAAAAGAAGATATTTATACATCCCGCAAAGTCAAATGAAGCCTTTCTATACGTATATATGAATATGTGTTATTCTTGTAGTCGACTAGCTACTTGAAAAAAACTGAAGCACTCACAGAGAATTTAAAGTTAGACCGATTTAGGAATACTAATAATAACTTTTATGTCCCACCTACGATAGTAGAGGAGCATTATGTTTTTCGGTCTGTGCGTCCGTTCGTTTGTCCGTCCGTTCGTTCGTCCGTCCGTTCGTCCGTCTGTCCCGCTTCAGTTTAAAGTTTTTGGTCAAGGTAGTTTTTGATGTAGTTGAAGTCCAATCAATTCGAAACTTAGTACACATGTTCCCTATGATGTGATCTTTCTAATTTAAATTCCAAATGGTCCACTGACCTTAAAAAATGATAGTGCGAGTGGGGCATCCGTGTACTATAGACATATTCTTGTTAAATCATCATTCAGTTTGACAGTTTCATAGTTGATGTTGAATTTGGCGTTCAATGGAAGTTGTTTAAGCAGACGTATTCGTCTCTTGTAAATCTTATGATTTACGCATTTCACGTTCGTTAGAAATGTTGTACCGGTATTTCAGCAATTACAAACCCTTTCAAAAATGATTAAAGAAAAAACAACAAACGAAAAAACAAGATCTTAATAGACGGATAGCAGGAATTACCATGAATATTAGACAGTTAACAGACCACACCAGTCACCAACAACCGATTCTCGCGTAATTAAGATAACCTTAGTCAAGTCGAGTTGGGGGTAGCGTCCTCCACATGTGCAGTAACTTGTTTCTCTAGTTCAGAAGGTTTTTCTATTTTGCTTGATGACGATTAACAGTACTACTTGTACTTGTTGCTGTTTCTTTACTATGTCATTGTTATGATGGCTTTTAGGCTAGTATTGTGTTGTTTTGTTACTTTTACGTACTGAAGATTCATTGACACCTATTTTCAGGGCGAAGGTGATAAGTTGAGTAGCGGCTTACAATGTACAATAAGGGGATGACAGTGTCGTTAATAACTGCGGGCCTCCGCTCCATTATTTCCCAGGAATGGACAGTTATTTGGACTTTCTCTATAACGAATACATAGGAAAAGTTAATAATTGCATAGGCCTTCTCCTCTTACCACTTTCTCTGTATCTCTATTAATAATATGACATTGAGCATAGAAGGCACCAGAAGAGACTTCCAGGACATGTTGGGTGGAATTACATAGTAAATAACAAGAGTGCACACGCTGAAATGTCTCGCCTGCTTTACTTACCATTGATTTTATGTTGAAAGTCTTAAAAAAAATTAATACTGTCAGACAGACATGTACACCTTACAATTATTCCTTACACAAACTATAGTTGACCTATTGCTTATGATTCTTGAGATTAGACCAAAACAAAAAACTAAAGATTGACCAATGAATCAAGAAAATGAGGTCAAGGTCCGATGAAACCTGCTAGACTGACATGTACCCGTTACAATCGTATAGTTGACCTACTGATTATGACATCTGAGAAACAGACCTTGTCACGTAACTTTAACCTTGATCACTGATCTATGATCAGGTTAACCCTGTCTGAAGGACATGTAGACGTTGCAAGGAACCCATATAATAAATATAGTTATCATATTTCTCATGATAAGTGAGAAATTCACATGATAAAAAAAAAAAACTTTTTCAAGCAGTCGCTAAACCATGAAAATGAGGTCAAGGACAATGGACATATGACAGACGGAAACTTCGTAGCATAAGGTATCTGCATACAAGGTATGAAGCATCCAGGTCTTCTATCTTCTGAAATATAAAGCTTTATACAAATAGATCACGCCACCGCCGCAGCCGCCGTCGCTGGATCGTAATCCCTATGTCTCGCATTCTTCCGTCGCAGGCAAGACAAAAACCATAGTCAAAGGTAGACCATTCCAAAACAATGAGACAAAAAATATATATAAAACTATATTAATAACAATATCAATATACATAATCGATATCAATGCAATAATACACATAAACCAATGTACAATTATGATGTGCATCATATTATTAATTCTACATGAATTATTATAATGCCTTAGATGATTACAAACGGATATATCTCTCCTCACATATAAACTAAGTTTTTAGTCCATTTCCATTAACTCTCAAATTACTTTCTTGCTTTTGGTGATCTGTAAGAGGAGGTAGATATTTTTTTTCTATTTGGTAGGTATTTTTAATAATACTAATTGCACCTGTAAGAGTTGACAATGAAAGGACATGTAACCAGAACAGTGAATACATCCCATGACTCTGACCCAAGAACAAATACTTTTGCATTTAATATCATAGTCAAATTACATTTATTTTGAAAGAGTGCTGAAATTTCTATCCATAAATGTCTAACTGGAGTACATTCACAGGAAAGATTACCCATAGTTTCCTTAGTTTCATTACAGAAACTACATAAATTGTTTTTTTAACCTACATTTATACAATAATGCATTTGTAGCAAGAGTTACATGTAAAATTTTAAACTGGAACATACTAAATTTGTAGTTTTTATTACAACAAAAGAATAAACTAAAAATGAAATCTCAATTTTCTATATGAGTGTTCAGTTCTTTACACATTTGTTCTTCTTGTTTTGTAGGACCTTCTGTATACCTTGAAAAGTTTTTTTTATATAAAAGAATTGACATGCTTTTTTATTATTTTTAATAAATTCAATTTTTTCAGTTGATATGCATTTTATTTCTCTGAAGCAGTTAGATCTTTCCAAGCTTTCGGTATCATATGCAGTATAGATTGGTATTCCAGGAAATCAATATTAATGTTATATTTTCTGCTAAGAAATAGTGCTTGTATTGCTGTTCCTAGTCTCAGGTTCACAACGGGGTCTCCAACATTGAGCAAAAATTTCACACTGTCCAAGACAACCCTTAGTGACCGGTTTACATGGTTATGTAAATTTTGAATCGAAGGATAAAATTAACCAAAACATTTCTAGTTCTTCTGAAAGACAATATATGGAATAATTTCAAAATAAATTTTAATTATGGTCACAAGTTCAGAAATAACGCCAAAATGTTGTTCAAACATATACACATCCACGTGTGAATCTTATAATGATGTATTTCTCCATTTTCTAACTGTTTTGAAATTGAATATGAAGTTTAAAAGTGCAATATCATAAATATTTGACTGAGACATGATAAAAAGTTATATAAGAATCGAATTTACGTATACATAAAGAGTTACTCTTTGTTCAATTGTTTTTTTAAAAGACAAGCAACTTAAATAAATAAACCATCCCCTTTTTGGAGAGAGAGAACACTTCTCACAAGCAATGTTGTTTTAGAAATTCATCCCTATATTTCTATTGGAGATAGACCCTGGATTTATTAACTGTGTAATATCCCCTATTCTGGACAGCTTAATTTGCTAAGAATTGCCCATAAGATGATTTTGATAAAAAAATAGTTAACAGCAAAATACATGAAAAATAGTGGAGATACAACATTATAAAAATATTGTTCTCTGAACTTACTAGACGAATAAGCTTTTATGGGAGTGTGGAGATAGAACAGTGTATTTCTGACAAAAACTCGTAGATTGTAGAAATCTCATATTATACCGGTAGTTGTATACAGTGTAGAAATCTGGTATTGTACCGGTAGTTGTATAGAGTGTAGAAATCTCGTACTATACCAGTAGTTTTATAGGGAGATAGACCATAAATAACACTTGGATATCAAATATATAGCTATCTCCATTTTTATCAAAAGTGGAAATATAAAACTATAAGATTCAAACGACTACATATCAATCTACGAAGTAAAGATTGGAGGACCATTGGAAAATGTCCCTGGTGTGAAACAAACGCAGGGGAAATTGGCCATACCTTTTAACATACATGACTGATGCAAACAAAATACATGTATTATATCATGAAATCAATGTTTTATACCATTGTTGTTATAACTATCTTTAGGCGAAGAAGAATGATAGAATTTCATGTGATACCTGTCATGAATAAAAGAATTGTTTGTGCAAATCACATGATGCGGCGAATTTAATTTAAAGCGCCAGAAGGCTCCGGCGCATTCCAAACATATAATTATTAGTAGTTCTGTGTTCGAAATCAAATAAACTTGCAAATCTAAAATATTTGGAGACATGTAATGGAGTTTTGTTGTTTGTATGCTAGACTAAGTGTCAAAGGTTGATGGATTTAAAACGTACTGTCATATTGGTATATAGATCTGATAAAAGTATACAACATAAACATTATGTTCAAAATTTAGGTCAGGAGTTTTTTCAAGATTTTATTTGATAACTTGAAATACATAAAGACAAGTTTCAAGTTTCAAGTTCAATATATTCGATACAAGCATGCCTTTGAAAGGATTTACATGGACTCTACAGGCAATAATATGATTAAACCAGTAACAAGGTTTTGGTATTGAAAACTAAAAAACCTTTCATCCAACTATCAAAATTTGAATTGTTCAAATTATATATGATGTAATACTGCTGTACATGATTTAGTTTCAGTCAATAGATCAATCGCTTTATCGTACCTGTCCTTTGATTTTTGGTAAAGAAAACATTTTGTAATACAAATATTAAAGACAGTCTGTTACAGCAAAAGCAGTTTGCATGGGGTGATTCTTTCAAAAACGTTTTCTTTGCATATGATGTGTGGAAAAGCTATTTATTTAAGGCCGTACGGTGACCTATAGTTGTTAACTTATATGTCATTTGGTCTCTTGTTGAGAGTTGTCTCATTGGCAATCATACCACATCTTCTTATTTTTATATTTGATAAACTTTGTGAGGCTTTTAGAAAGATCCTTACTGTTCTCTGTTTCATCGTAGAAATGCAACAAAATAAAGAATCTGACAAACATTTTCTGTGGTATTAAAGTACTACTGAATATACAAGAATGGGGTATATTTTTAACTCTCCTTATCAACGATCTGAATTTGGTAAGTGCATAAAAGTTTAGCATAGATAAATATAAATGATCCGTTTCTCTGATATCAGGGCTTGAGAATTGCAATATAATATTCAATTTTTGTGACTTTCCTTATTACAACTAAGAAAACAAATAGTAACTAAACGTATTTTCCTTCCTAAATGATTTGTATAACTTATAAACATGTTGACCTGAGTCTATAAGTATTTTTAAATCACGCAGATTAACAGATTAACGTGACCGTCTTGGTGTATATATAATGAATTCTTTAAACTTAATAAATTTTTATATGACGAATGCTTTTCTTTTATTACCTAACGACTAGGGACGTATAATTGTTAACTTTCTAGACCCCCTATTAAGATTCCTGCTGCAAGACCTATGTGTAAGGCATTGACATTGTTTTGTTAATTTCAGTGGATCCTTACACCATTTGACTATCATTACTGCATTTACGAGGAAGATATTCCGATAGGAACATTACTCTTTAATACGTTAATACCAGTTGTCAATAACCAAAGAAAACTATGTTTAAAAGTATCACTTTAAAGTCCATGATTTGCACAGTCAGAGGAACTGTAATACAATTTTAATGGAAAATTTCAAATGGGTGTCCTTAACTTTTTCTGTTGAGTACATGGTGGATTAACAATGCGATAAAACTAATACGGCTGACATTTCAATATACGCATTTGTTTTTTAAATGTGAAAAGATATTAATGCAATGGCCTAAATGAGCTTATAATCAATAATGACTTTAAACCAACTTACATCAGTAGCTTGGGTAGTTAGGTATCTAAACAACCCTATTAATGTGTGAATAGTACGTTTACCTTATTTGGGGGCGAATCGAATGAAAGGGTTACATCTGTAAATTGCAGCTAGGTCTAATAATGATATTTGAATTTTCATCTCTTTTTGTCGTTATCCAAATCTTATCGTTTATGACAAAAACTAATGTGAAGCATTTTTAAACAAATATTCTGATATTTAGTATATATGTATATAAAAGTCAAGATTTCGCGCTGTATGGCGTCTTTTTAGGTCTGCCACGCTTTCTGTTAAACCTTGGCCATTTCCCTTGTCGTTTTTCAATGCATTTGATATAGTGATGTTCATCACAGCGAGGTCTTATGATTTCTACCCAAGCTATTGAAATATTTCTATCTTTTTCGTCGCTATCCATATCTTTCAGGTATTCACCAATGTCTTGAGCATCATAGCCTCCTAAGTGGCTTAGTATTCTCTCCCGTATACAGTCTTGTGATTGGCCAATGTAAATAACAACATTGCATTCTTTAATGACAAATAATCCCCTGGTTTCAGGTTCCGGTAGATCGGTTATGTTTTTTGACTGGCTGATTAATATCTCACATTTATATTCTTTGCATCCTCGCTTTGGCTGAAACGTAAGTTAACAATAAGCCACTTTGTGTTTTTTCTCATTTAGTTTTATTTTGCTCCATTTTCATTTGTTCTCTTTTTTTTTCTTTTTTTTTGGCGGGTTCTTATTATCAAAAATAACTCATTTATATCCTCGAATATGACCTACCGAATTAGACTTATCACCGGGTTTGTACTTTCTTTAATGAGAAACATGTGGAGCAGGATCTGCCTACCCTTCCGGAGCACCTTAGATCACCCCCGGTTTTTAGTGAGCATCGTGCTGCTCAGTCTTTAGTTTTCTGTTGTGTTTCGTATACTGTTGTTTGTCTTTTGTCTTTTTTAGTATTTTGCCATGGCGTTGTCGGACGAGTTTGTTTTCAAATTATGAGTTTGGATGTTCCTTTGGTTTCTTTCGCCTCTCTTTTATAGATAGAACCAATACAGGTTGTCGGACCGTACATTTTGAACTTGTATTTTGGATTTAGTTCACAAACTTGACAGCAGAGCTATCAATACAAGTACATAGTCCGAACATCGTATGTATTCATTTATTTCTTTTTTAATAAGGCGCCATACATCAATTTCAAAATTCATATTATGATTATCAATGGGAACAACAGCATATATTTTTTAATTGACTTTAATAATAATAAAAATGAACAAATAGTTTCTGGGGACAAAAAAAATTTGACGATCTATTAATAGTTATAATGGTTTGAAACTTCATGTAAAGATTGCTTGAAGAAAAAAAACGTTGATAAACATTGATTTGAAAAGTGTTCTTATCTATATAGGTACAAATTAAGAACGGCTATTGGAAAATGTTCACAATCCTGATAGAAGAAAGACGTAAATTGTACAAAAGTATTACTATGCAGTACTACGTATTTTTAGTGTATTGACAAGTTTAATACTATACATGCATTTTACTCTTTTTTTCTAAATAAAAATTGCATACCATTTTCTGATGCAGCCAATTTTGTCATATCCGTGATTATTCAATGAATTATGTTCAAATTATGTCAGCCATGAAACCACAGGTCTTGTTGTCATGAGTGGGATTTATTTTTATATGGAAATCCCCATTATATTTAGATAGGAAAACACCTAATTTTATATAAACAAACGAGGCGAACAATGTAAATAAACTAACTTTACTTTGACTATGGATACTCAATGTTCGTGTTTCATTTATAAGTCATAAGTCAATTAATGTTAAATCGGTTAAGCCCCAATTAACTCTATTATTATTATGTCAACAAATAAGATGAATTGATGTTAGCGTTGTAATGAAAGCTTCAGTCATCGTCAAGTTGTAGGTGTATTCTGACAAGGCTCTTACAAAACACTGTCTCATTGATGCATATACTCCATATAACCATTTAAAAAATGAAGTAAACGGTTTGGGTTTTTTTTTTTTCATTTGAGTTGCATTTCAAGTTTTTGCACCATTTTAGAGATTGAATAAACGCAGATATTTAGATTAATTCTTTCAAAATACATGTATTAAAAGTTCAGCAGTTTTGATTCCTTTATGTCAGATTTTGAAATGTAGCGAAAAGATGGCAATATTAACCTACTTGGAATTCTCTTCGTAATTTAGGATCCTTTGTAATGTCATTTTAAATCATTTGCAAAGTTGCTTTGATATACAAATGTATTTTGTAATGTTAATGTGGGTTTATTTTTTGCAATCCAATGCTTTTTGCATTTCATACATTTGATTGGTCTCGAATACTACTGTTGAGACATGGGTTTTTTAAAGCATGGAATTATTATAGGTATCTTTAAAGTCATATGACCCTTCAATTTTTTTAAATGTTCAATATGTTTTATATACTTGAATGGCAACATTTTACTACAAAACAAGTGTACTACAAAACACGTGTACATGCCCTTTCTTTAAAAAGAAAATTATTTATCCTTATCAAATCTTCTTGTCTTCGGCAAAGTTTTCGATCAACAATCACAGAATAAAATATTTGTTGTCGATGATTCATGTTCACCGATTTTACTCAAATTCTCATATTTGATTTATAACATGCTTAAACGTATATCCAAATTACAATAAGTTTGAAATAAACAATTAACAGCATTTTGTGTGTATTTTAGTCTAGACGCCATCTAATTAACCATCGAGATGACCTCCGAAGACTGCCGACGGTCACATAACCTGATATAAACATAAACATAAATATAAATAGATAGCAACCTCGTGCAGTTAGACTTTTATAGGTCTGTTTGATTTCATGTTATAAGTTAAAAAAAATAAGTTAATCATCGTTTTTACCTGTATAAGAATGATTTTTGGTGGATCGAATCAGTCAAGGAAATGGTTCACCTTTGTTTCACTTTCAATGTTGACATTCTTTTCCTTTTAATGGCTGAACACGACTAATACATGCGTAGCCAATCTCTAACTAATGGGTTAAATTGAAGGTCACATGAATACGGATTCAATGAGGTCGAATTATTCACTTGCAATTGAATAATTCATCAGCGATGTTTCATAGCTTATTTTGACAAAATTGAACTAAAATGGCTGCTAAAAGCGAATTATCATTTCACTATTTCACTTTCATTAATGATTGAATAAAAAAAAATCATATTCTATTTTTTTTTTTTATATATATATATATATCGTAGCTAATGCCCCTTTAATATATTATATGTATGCATCAATTCAAAACATTGTAACAATTAAAAGAAACTGGTTTCATCTGACTTAAAGATAGGTACTACCCGATTTTCATCAGTAAATTATTTTAAAATTTTGAACGTCAGCAGATGCTACTAACACCTAAACTAGCACCTGATATCACTCCCGATTGTTAGTGTGTTTCGTTTTGTCAGTCTTATTAATAAGTTTTTTATACAGCATTTTGTAGACTTGTCTGTCTTTCATTTGTATGCAAAGGCGCTGGTTTAAGTTTAGCACTCTGAGTCGTTCAAATTTGGACAATTTGGTTCAACTTGAACAAAATCATTATTTTAAGAAAGTATCAGTTTTATTGATAGATAGATTGATTGAAAAAGTGCCGTTTTTAAAATCGGACTATTGGTTCTTCAAACTAAATCTACCGTTTAAAACTAAATCAATTATATACAAAAACAAGACACTGTCATAGTAATTGAGACTACATGATACCAAAAAAAAAACAACAACAACAATGCGCAGTTAGTTTCATATGTTTTCTCTTAAATAAAAAAGAAAACTGAAACTAAAGGGGCAATTAAAAAACATAATTCGAAAAAAAATTGACAATGCAATGAACATGTTGAAAGAAAAGACCGACGAAAGGCCAAAAAGTAAATGAAACACTACACAGAAAACTATAATAGATTTGCAACACGAACCTTAACCCAAAACCAGAGATAAACCCAGGTGCTCCGGAAGTTTCTGTTCCACCAGTGGCACATGACGTATTGATCATTACAAGTCTAATTTCGGTGAAATCATAGATAAACTCATCGTAGATATTATGATTAAAATTGTGTATACCAGACGCGCGTTACGTCTACAAACGACTCATCAGTGACGCTCGAACCAAAAAAGTTAAAAAGGACAAAATAACGTACGAAGTTGAAGAGCATTGAGGACCCAAAATTCCGAAAGGTTTTTCCAAATACAGGAAATAAGCGAATCAACTCATCCTAACGTAGATTAATTGTCAGATAGTATTTAGCCCTCTTGCTGTCATTGAAAACAATTGAAATCATATTTAGAATTTAATTTTACAATAAATATCATGTCAGGTTTTGGTTGACCCAATTGCATTATTAATAACCTTTAAACTTGTAAAAATTGTAATTTGAGTCTTTATTTTTAAAACGATACATTAGTCATTCAGCAGATATAAATAGTAAGTAACTTTGTAATGGGTAATACACGTGTGTTTACATTTTGTATTTCAAAATCATTCATTTTTTACATATACTGCGTCTCTTTAAATTCATTTCAATATCTAAAAAAGCCGACTGTTTTCGACTTTGGTTTAACCTTCGTTGGCGACATTTAAAATGTATTCTGTATTGTGTGACAAATGATTACCAATTCTATATAGATTTCGAAAAAAAACTGAAACATGAACCGTTTAAACAAACACTACTTATTTTCTAAACAGAGTGACAAATGGTTATGATGCATATTTGTAAAAGAAAAATGTCAATATATGTACGGTATTACCCTTTCTTTTAAAAAACGATTTATGGAATAAAAAAATATTATATGATTTATGAAGTAAAATAAAATTAAATGATTAAGGGAAATAAAGAAGAACGAATTTCATGGTCAATATATAGGGACTTCGTAAACCTGTATTTTTGTAACTACTGACAATTTCAATGAACCAAAAAAGAAATACATTCAGCGACTTATAACATGACTATAATAATAAAAGATTAAAATGACACCAATACAAATCTCAGATGAATGTCGTACATATGAGATTGAACGTATAAAATATGGTTATATAAAATCTTAAACAAAGTTTATTTCACAATCAGGATTACGTAGACATACAATTAATTTCAAAAAATAACAGTATATCACTCACATTATGAATCAAGAAAAAAACATCTTTACAACCATTTGTCCATATTTCATATACGTTAAGTTCGTGGGAATCCAAATGCTCTATAAAGTTTGGACCCTTTGATAAATATTTCCACCTATGTAATCTATTTCTATTACTGTATATAATTATAGTTTGATTGTGTGTATATTCTCGTACGCTGTTAACTTTTATCAAAGCATCAGCACCTCTAACAATACGATAGCACCACAGGGATCCAGTTACAATATACGAGACTCCATGTTCCTGACAAGAAGATTTTTTAATGCAGTGAATTATATACTAGTATGGAGACTATTATGATACACATATAAGTTAAAAAAAAAATGAATATTATGACAAAAAAAGTAACAAACGATGATTTTGTAATGAACAATTTTCATGTCAAATGATTCATTTGATTTCATATTCATATGCTATTCATACCGTGTCCGTACATTTGGGAAGAGACTAGCAAGAACATCAGTATTCCAAATAAACTTGTCACAGGTTGTAAGAAAAGCAATTATTCTATTGTTTATTTAAGTTATACACATAGAGATATATGCGATTTTTTGTTTATGCATTAAGGCCTATATGGCTTAATTTCCTTCGGCAGATTTCCCTAAGTTTATCATATTTTTCCATAGCAATAAGTCCCATGATCATAACTTCCATATTGCCATTGACACTGTCTTCGCTTTTGCAATACTAAAATCCGTGTCACTTGTATATTCATTGCGTATCTTTGTTATTACTTCCGGCTGAAATGAAAATATAAAGATTCATTCAGATTATGACATTGATGTACATTGGTCTATAATTAGAGAAAAATGCCACAAAGTTATCCCATTGCATTTCAGGCTATCGGTCAATGTTTTTGCTTAATGACAGATTAATTTTATTTGCGTTTCTGCTAACTTTTTCATGTTTAGACTCTGAACGATGCAGAGCTTGACATACAATGTAGACACCTGTCTTTTATTAAAGACTGTATTTTGACCCCTTGATGTTTTTTTTTAATTATTATCTGTCTTATTAGGTTGCTGTCTCAATGACGTTTATTCATATCGAAACTGAACATCGTGCAAACAGTATTTTTTTAAGAAACATTTTTGTTTACATCTCATACATTACAGAAAATATATAGAGATTTCCCCCTCTGTAAGGAATGTTTTAACCACGTTTACTCAAGCAAAGATTTTAAAACAGCAGCCTTACGGTGTTTACAGTATTGTTCAATATAAAAAGAAAGCGATATATGTAGATTTTTGAAGACACAACTGTCATCTTATTTAAGAAAATACGACAAAGCCGTACAATGAACAAAACCAAAACCGCTAATTAAGCTATAAAAGAAAGCTATTGATATTTTAGAAACAATTGGGGTTATTTATAGCCTTTTACTTTAGGAAATATTTAACTTTTACATGATGTCTATTTGGTAAGAAAGGCAAATTATAACTTAACATATAGATATAAGAAGATGTGGTATGAGTGCCAATGAGACAACTCTCCATCCAAGTCAAAATTTATAAAAGTAAACCATTATAGGTCACAGTACGGTCTTCAACACGGAGCCTTGGCTCACACCGAACAGTAAGCTATAAAGGGCCCCAAAAATTACTAGTGTAAAACCATTCAAACGGAAAACCAACGGTCTAATCTATATAAAAAACGAGAAACGAGAAACACTTATGAACCACATCAACAAACGACAACTACTGAACATCAGATTCCTGACTTAGGACAGGTGCAAACAAATGCAGCGGGTTTAAACGTTTTAATGGTACCAAACCTTCACCCTTTTTCTGAAACAATAGTGTAACACCACAACATAGAAAGACACACTATAAAATATCAACTGAAATAGCTTAACTCAATCAAAGGACATATTAACACTGAACAAATAAATTTGACCTATGATACAATGTAAATACAAAATAAATAAACTAAGGGAAGAATAATAAAAGTAACATGTTATATCGGAATGAAATGTTAAACAATTAAAGAAAAACAATCTGCTCGAACAAAAATATCAGCCGTTTGCAATAACTTTAAACACAGGTAAATGAAAATAATTTTGTTGTTAGGTATACGTATACAGTTCCAATAGAGAAAGGAAATATTTTTACAAAAAAAATAATTTTGATGTTCATAGTACGAAGTGAAAATTTATAGTAATACCAAACACTTATAAAAGCTGGTATATAGACCAGATATAACCCTGAATAACATTAAATAACAAAAAAGCAATACAATTAGTATCAACAGGTCAAATAAACAAGAAAGTACGGTCTGTTAAGTGAAGAAGTCAATAGCAATTTATAATGGTATTTGTAATCATTTTCGGATCTTCAGTATTTACATTGAAAAAATCTACAGGTTGATATATAAACACTGTTCACCAAAAGTAACAACACGAGAAACGTTATTTTTGTTTATGTGATAATAATTTACATCCAAAAGTAGTTTTATCAAAATTGCAAAGATTCTTGTTTAATTCTATGCTGTTATTGAGTCTCAATACGAGTTATAACGAACATATGATAATATACATGAAGCAAAGAAACCAATACCTTTTAAAAATCCAGATGGTCTCATTATATATTTACAGGTATATTATCTTTGTCATAAGCCTGAATTTGCTGCAAAAATTCATTTACATTACCAAGTAATTTCCTCGACTGTTCACATGACGGAGTCCTACCCAGGAAAATACATACTGCCCCCATAACCTTTTTAACTAATTGCGGTGTATGCGACAATGATTTAAGCTCTGTAATCGAACGTGTGTTTATCTAAAAAGTATAATCATAGATTGTATTTCTAACTGAATATCTTTTTCCGTTACCTTCGGACACCATGGACACCGACATCTCAAATGCACAGCGCATACACATCTGGAACATGACAATTTCCTCTCTTTGATCTTTTTTTTAGGTTAGTTATTACTTTACAGGATTTTGTGTCTCCATTTGGAGATGTATTTTAAGAGTTTGCGAGTAATTATTTAATTAATTGGTCGACCGGGTTTGTTGGAAGTGAAAAAGTGAATCTCTTACAGGTTTGTCTTCTGTTTAGGTGTTTTTAGATTTTGTGCTGAGTGTTTGCTTTCCCTTTTAATTGATTTTGTAATATTTCTTGTTCAATGAGTTAAATTATTTGTGAATATTAAACTGACATTTTCCAATGTATTTTTCTCAGCTTAAGAATAGTTTTTAATTAGGCTAATGAAGGTGTTTGTGTGTATTTTAAATGTATAAGTGAAAGGGAATTTGCCCAATCGTTTAAAATGGTATACTGAAATTTAAATTCAAATCTTTTGTTATTGTTACCTAAAGTCCAAATATAGAACAAAATAATTTGATTCACGAGCAGTTCAATATTAAATTAAATACAATTTGAAAAGAAGGCTATTTTATTGACACAAAAATCTTGATATGAAGATGGGCGCAAGTTAATTAATGAACGAATGGTACTAAGACCAAAGAAGGTGTATGGTGGGACTCATTATTAAGTCCCTGAAATTTACAAATAACAAAATTCTCCATTTTAGAATATACTAAGTGTAAATTCTATTAATAAATGAACAGAGTCGTAGAGTAAAAATAAGGCCATATAATGGAAAGATATGTCCGGTATGTTTGAGACATCTGATGATATCAATGCGAAATTATAAACATGTCAAAATAAATATCAGATGTTTCAATTGGTTGGGATTTTGTTTGCAGTATCATATTGTGTCGAGCAAGTAATGTTTTACACTATCAACATGATGAACATTTTTATAATCGACTTATCGGATTGAATGTGTGTGTGTTATTTTATGAAGGAAATTATACTTATAGGTTTCATAACGAGTGAGAATTGGATATCGCTGGATATCAACTCGAGTTATTTGATTTACACTTAAAACCTCTTTGTTCTAACTGTGCTATAATTTGGATAATAAGGTGTGTATAAACTACCTCAGATATACAGCACAGTTCAAAAGTTCTCTTACCTTTAGGGGCGGATCCAGAATTTTTCAATGGGGACGTAATTCCATAAAATAGAAGAAATACTAACTATAGCGAGTATGAATACACTTTTGAAGATTTTATTGTTTACAATGTAAATCTTAAATCAAGTCAAACAAGATAATATTTTTTATTGTAATTTCTGCCAAAAAAAGAAATGCATTTTAGAATATGAAAATAAATGATATCTGATTTGGATTAATTTTGTGCTCAATGGAATTTATTACGACTTCTTAAACATTTATTCCTTTTTAGTGACTATTTTGTTATCGAATTTAATGAGGTTCATATTCAATTATGTGCCAAAACAGGGGAGGAAATGAGCTGCAGATCAATCAGACTTCGGGGGAGGGTAGAGGGCGGTGGGAAGTTAAAGATTGAAATGTGAAACTTTTTTCTGTTTACTTTGTACTATTGATGTAGGTACATCTCTCCTCGCTTTATATAACCCTTTCAGTTAAGATTTGTCATACACTGATTTAAAAGTATACATCTAACAAAACTGTAGGCGATGTTGGTTATATCTATAAGGCATCAATCAAACGACAAAAACAACATAAGGACATCTTGAAGGCAAAATACAGTTTTCCGCAATAGACAGGTGTCTACACAATATGTCAAGTTCTAAACCGTCACGAATTTATATAAAAATTGTAAATAAATTTTTACAGAACGGAGAAAAAATCTGCCATCAAATCGCAATTCTCCAAATAATGTAACAATTTAGGAAGAAGCCTGAATTTAAAAAAAAAGTTAGTTATATAAACGTTCCAGACCTTTTACTACAGCAAGGCGTATTTCCTCATTCTTTGCCCTACAAGAGAGCTTTCCTAGGAGCCGTGGATTGCGGAATATCGTCCGCATATTTCCAAAACGTTCATGTAAATTGATGGCGTCATGTGTTAAAACATTTATTGGCCAATCACATCGGTAGACATATTATTTAATCTGCACGGTTGGAATGACCCTTTAGCACGAACTTCTACATCGTTCGGGTCAAGAAGGGTCACCTGAGCCGTGCAGATTACATGAAACATATCGATTTGCCTGTTCAATAATTATAATATGATAAACTAGCCATCGGCGAGTTTATTATTACTATTTAAATTAAATAACGAGAGTCGATATCAAGCGATATCCAATTCTCACGAGTTGTTAAACCTATCTCTCTTATGGTCAACACTCTCATTGTGTTAAATTAAAAATTCCGCGAATGCTTGATCTAGTCTTTTGCACATACCAGTATGAAGACATATGTCCTCTTCCGGTGTCAAACTTTTTGTTCGCTTCAGACTGTTAAACATTTTGACAAAAAGAAATTTTTCAGGTGAAAAGTGTCAATGTTTTGTATATTATTGAAGAAATCACATATCTTGGTTGCCTTTGACGAAATGTACACCGTCTTACATGTAACCTTTGAAACTCATCAATAACCTAATGAATAGCCAATTGAAATGTCGTAATATCGTCTCATGCTGGGTAAGCCAATCAAATTACCTTAGTGTTCGTATCACTGTTTCGTATCACACTCCATGCAGTGTACCTGATACGAGAAATATCTCTTCACGAAAGAAATAGATAACAGGCCACAACCATAACAGTAAGAAAGCAAGCCCTTAGGCACGACCGTTGTGGTTACTATCTAACAACAATGGAACTGATATAAAAGCCCGCCATTCTGAAGTTGCGTTAATATCCCGAAAAAATCAAATTGGCGGCAATTTGGACAAGATTCAGTTTTCTGTTTCTTACTTTCTGTAGGAGTCAAAAATTGATGTCTTCCTATCTCTTAAGTAAATGTCTTTTTAAAGGGAACATATAACTCAAATTGGCCTATCACTAGCCTGTCAACACTGAGGTTGTGAGTTCGAAAGCCGCACGTGGCAGATGCGCTCGACTCCAATCTTAATTAACTTGGAGTGTTAGTTTTCCTACCGAAGGTCGGTGGTTCTCTCCGGGCACGCCGGCTTTCTCCACCAATAAAAACTGACCGTAACGAAATAGAACAACAAAGCTGAAAATGGCGTTAAACACCAATCAATCAATCCTTACATAGCTTAATTTAAAAGATTGTGATTAGGCTTTTTGCATGATAATTGAGATCATATTTAGGATTTACTTTTACATTCATATGAGTATTGCAGATTCCAAACATGTACATGTAACAGGTTTCGGTTGACCCAATTCTAACATAAATGACCTTAGGACTTTTAAAAATCGTTAAATGAGTATTTATTTTTAAAATGATACAATAAGAAATTCTGCAGCATAAAATAGTAAAAAAAACTATGTTATGGTTAACAAATTTCATGTCAGTTTACATTTTGCATTTCAAAATCATTTTTTTTACTTATACTGCGCCTCTTTAAATTCAAATTCAATACATTTTTTTAAATGTGATTTAGAAACTTGGGTTTAACCTTCGGAGGCGACATTGAGAATATATTCTGTATTGTGTGACAAATGATAACAAATTACATATAGATTTTTAATGTAGCCCTGATTTCGAAAAAAAAGCTGAAACATGAACCGTTTAAACAAACAACGCTTTCTTCTGAACATATTAAAAATTGGTTATGATTCGTTTTTTGTAAAAAATCCAAAAAAAAAATCGATATTTACGATATAACCCACTCTTGTTTATGAAATGATCTTTTCAATAAAATAAAAAGAATAGATTTATGGATTAAAATAAAATGAAATGAAATGATTAAGGGAAATCAAGAAGAATGAATTTCCGGGTCAATATTGACCCTTCGTATTTCTGTTACTACTGACAATTTTAATGAACAACAAAAAGAAATACATTCAGCGACATATAAAATTACTAAAGAACTAATCATAGACACCAATACAAACTACAGATGACTGTTGTACATATGAGATTGAACGTACAAAATCAGGTAACATAAAATCACAGTTTGTTTTACAATCAGGATAACGTAGACATACAATTATTTTCAAAATCTATCAGTATATCACCCATATATGTTATCGAGTATAACATCTTAACAACTATTTGTTCTTATTCCATATAAGTTAAGTTCATGATCTTCCAAATGCTCTATACAGTTTGGCACCTTCGATACAATCATATTCCCGCCTATCTAATCTATTTCAATAACTGTTTATAACTATAGTTTATTTGTATGTATATTTTCGTACAGTGCTAACGTTTACCAAAGTATCAGCACCTCAAACAGTATAATGGCATCACAGTGATCCAGTTTCAATATACGACACTCCCTGTGCCTGGCAGGAATTTTTTTTTTAATGCAGTGAATTATATATGGAGATTATTAGAATACACATATAAGTAAAAAAATCTTGAATATGACAAAAAGTAACAAACGATGACATTGTAATGAACAATTTTCATGTCAAATAATTTATTTGATTTCATAAAAAATATTCATATGCTGTCTATATCGTACTACCTTACATTTGGGAAGAGACTAGCAAGAACATCAGTATTCCAAATGAATTTGTCACAGGTTGAAAGAAAAGCAATTATTTGTTTATTAAAGTTATACACATAGAGATATATCAGTTCTTGCGATTTTGTGTTCATGCGTAATATGGCTCTTCAGAATTTGCTTATTTTCCATCGGCAGATTTCTTAAGTTTATCATATTTTTCCATAGCAATAACCCACGAACATAACTTCCATATCGCCATTGACACTTTCTTCGCCTTTTCACCACTAAAATCCGGGTCACTTGTATATTCATTGCGTATCTTTGTTATTACTTCCGGCTGAAATGAAAATATAAAGATTCATTCAGATTATGACATTGATGTAAATTGGTCTATTATCAGAGAAAAATGCCAAAAAGTTATCAATTAATCGTAAGAAAATTGCATTTCATTTAAGGAATGACTGTAATATTTTTTCTGTCTATGAAGAAATAACATCAAAAATGTGGTGTACACTGAATAACCCACAAAAGTGTGTACCACATTTTTTAGGTTATTTCGAATAGACAGAAATTTTTTACAGTTTTTCAGTCATTCCTTATAATTCAATTCTAAATTCCATTTTTAAGGAGTAAATTTTGAAAAAAACGTTGGTGACGTCTCTGTCACATGACAGAATTATGTCTATGAGCCGATAGACAAAACACTTACAGCCAATCAGAAGACGTGTTACATCCAAAATTAAATTATTTGAGGATATCTGTTAAAATTGTTACTTTATTGCAGACTTTGGGGCGTTTCTGATTATTTTTTTTTCATATTTGTTTAGACTCTGGACGATGCAGAGCTTGACATATAGTATAGACAACTGTATTTTCTTAAAGACTGTATGTTGATGACCCCTTGATGTTTTTTTTTATTATTATCTGTCTCATTAGGTTGCTGTCTCAATGACGTTTATTCATATCGAAACCGAACATCGTGCAAACAGTATTTTTTAAGAAACATTTTTGTTTACATTTCATACATTACAGAACATATATAGAACCCCCCCCCCCCCCTCTGTAAGGAATGTATGAACCAAGTTTACTCAAGCGAAAATGTTTAAACAGCAACCTTACAGTGTTTGCAGTATTGTTCTATATAAAAAGAAAGCGATACGGGTAGATTTTTAATGACACAACTGTCTTTTTTGTTTAAGAAAAAAAAACGAAAGCCGTACAATGAACAAAACAACAACCGCTAATTAGATATAAGAAGATGTGGTATGAGTGCCAATGAGACAACTCTCCATCCAAGTCACAATTTGTAAAAGTAAACCATTATAGATCAAAGTACGGCCTTCAACACGGAGCCTTTGATCACACCGAACAGCAAGCTATAAAGGGCCCCAAAGCTATACAAGGAACCTATTGATATTTTAGAAATAATTGGGGTTATTTATAGCCTTTTACCTTAGGACGTATTTAACTTTTACTTGATTTCTATTTGGTTAGAAAGGCAAATTACAACTTAACATGTCTATTTAGCGAACAAGTCAATAGCAATTTATAATGGTATTTGCAATTAATTTCTGATTTTCAGTATTTACATTGTAAAAATCCACATGTTGATGAAGATAGATCTCAGTCTGCCAAAGTAACAACATAAGAAGTGTTTTTTTTGTAGTAATAGATAACATTCTAAAGGTAATTTTGTCATAAACTTATTCTATGCTCTTATTGAGTCTCAATTCGAGTTATAACGAACATCTAATAAAATAGCATGGAAATCAATACTATTTTTTTTAATCCAGATGGTCTCATTATATACTTACAGCTATGTTATCCTTGTCATAAGCCTGAATTTGCTGCAAAAAATCATTTACATTACCAAGTAATTTCCTCGACTGTTCCCATGACGGAGTCCTACCCAGGAAAATACATACTGCCTCCATAACCTGTTTAACTAATTGTGGTGGATTCGACATTGATTTGAGCTCTGTAATTGAACCTTTGTTTATCTGAAAAGTATAAAGTATAAATTGAACTTAATATCATTTTCCATTTCCCAAAGACACCAACTATCCAAATGCGTATCGTATGCGCATCAAGAAATGCCTATACTGTAGATACACCTGCATTTGGGGATCATATAGTTCCAATTCCTAACGCAAATTACCAGAACTAGCATATTAAAATTGGAGACGAAGTATGTGTAATGTTAGGCCTGTATCCTTGGTTGTCCGATGCAGAAAGACATTTGTAGAATTGTCACATATTTAGTTTTCTTTTTCTCCGTTCGTCTATTAAACTTTTATTGGCTCAGATACTTAGTAATGATATTAGTGAAAAGGAAAATGCATTATCTGTAATAATTGTTACTGACTATAGATTAAATCTAAAACTTTTTGATCGAAAATTGACGATTTTTAAATGTTGGTACATGACAATTTCCTGTCTTTGATTTTCGTTTCAGAGTTTTTATTACTTTACGGGATTTCGTATATCCATTTGTTCACGTATATATTAGAGTTTGAGAGTAAGTAAATGATCGACCGGGTTTGTTACAAAGGAAACAGTTAATCTCCGACAGGTTTGCTTTCTGTTCAAGTGTTTTAAGTTTTTTGTGCACTCACACATTTAATATATTATATGTGACTTCACATGGCTTCCAATCCTTTTTCTTGTGTTACATGATGAAGATTATTCCGGAACACATTTTTTTTAGGTTTTTTTAACTGTATATAGCCATCTTGGATTGTAAAATAGCAGTAAACAATCGGTCTAGTTCTCAGTATTTAAATCTGCAAATTTTGAGGCAGAATTGCAATTTATGCAATAAACTGTTAATTTAAGAAAGAAAAAAAACATTTATTTTATTGTATTATTTAGACTGTTAATTAATACAAATACCAAATATTGATTTTTATTAAATTCAATATAGCAACTTAGCCATATTTTGGTAAATAACTCTTATAATAATTTTTTTATGAAGGAATGTTCAATGGAATTTTCAATGTTTTTACTTGTAACAAGAAAACAAGTTCGGGGACACAAATTTTCCTTTTTTTTTTCTAACAGCATTTTATAGAACCTATTTTTTTCATATATCATTTCAAAACATCTATCCGATAGATTTCTTTCTATTCACGAAAAAAGTGTTTTTCCATTAATAATCTATGCAAATTCGGGCAATTAATAAGAAAATTATGTCTGAGGAAATATGAAGTGATGACCCACCTTAATCATATGTTTATTTGAAAGCCCAATCTAAATTAAGAGTAAATACCATATACTTTCTCTTGCATATTTTAAATAGGTGTCTGTGTAAATAAAGATGATCGTGTCTGTATGAAAGAATCAAAACAGTGATTAAATTTAAAGGCTAATTTTACCGAATTTGATTACGTCTCACCTTTTTGAGATCTTTAAGAACGACTTCGATATCTGTAGAATCATTTTCCTGTGCAGCCATTATTTGCTTATTGACAGTATTTGTTTACAATAACAACTAAAACATCTACTGAGCGCTTGGATTCCTTTCTTACACTTTTTATAGCATTCCGTGTCCAATGAGTAACATTATTTTGGAATATAAAACAGAAATTCCCCGATGTATTTTTCTCAGCTTAAGAATAGTTTTTAATTAAGCTAATGTAGGTGTTTGTGTGTATTTTAAATTTATGATTTAAAAGGAATTTAATCAATCTTTTAATATGATATACTGAACTTTAAATTTAAATCTTTTGTTATTGTTACTGAAAGTCAAAATATAGAACAAAATATTAAGATTCACGACAGAACGCTTCAATGTTAAATTGAATATGCTGAAAGTTTAGAAAAACAACGTCACCGCTGTTTCGGATTTTGACCCTGAAATTTCAAAAAAAAAATAAAATAAAATTCTCTCTTTCAGAATAGAGTTCTGATTTATATTGATAAATGAATAGAGCGATACAGTGAAAAAGAAAAAAAAGCCATTTAATGGAAAGATATGTCCGATATGTTTGTGACATCTAAAATTTGATTTGCGAAATCAGATAACTCGAATTTCAACTCGAAATCTTAATCCAAATGAGACTCAAATTCGAAGTCTTACTCGAACTCTACCTCAAAAGCTGACTCAAATTCAAAGTTCAAGTCGAATTGTAACTCGCACTTAACCATTAAATGTGACTCAAACTTGAAGTTCAACTCGAAACTCATTGCTAACTCGATCTTTAATTCTAATTATCATGGCTTGAATTCTAACTCGAAATCGATATTAACTCGAAGTTTAACTCAAACAGTGACCCAGACTTTAATTTGATCTCTAACTCAATGGACGGCCACACTCATCCGAGGCACATAGAACATGGAAATCGGTTTTAAAAATGGAACTAGTTTTTCCCAAATGGTCATCCAGTAATGTGATAACCACGTCAAAGAATGACAGAACCACATCAATTACTGGAACGAACACATCTTGTAGTGTAAAATCGTCAAATTTTGAAACATCATAATGTAATGTTAAAGCCATATAAAGATTTGGTAAATCATCATTACGAAATAACAAAACCACATCATTTAATGAAACAGCTACATTACGTGTAGCCACATACACATCAAGTAATGTTAAAACCACATTGCTAAATGACACAACCACATTAAATAATGGTGAACCTGTCAGACTGACATGTACACCTTACAATCATTCCATACACCATATAATTGACCTACTGCTTATAGTATCTGAGAAACTCGTACCTTGATCACTTTCTGATCCATGAAATGAGGTCAAGGTAATTTGAACCCTGTCTGACCGACATGAAGACATTGCAAGGAACCCATATACCAAATATAGTCATCCTATTGCTCATAATTAGTGAGAAATTCAAATGACAAAAAACTCTTATTCAAGCAGTCACAGAGCCATGAAAATGAGTTCCAGGACAAAGTACATATGACAGACGAAAATTTCGTAACATAAGGTATCTGCATACAAGGTTTGAAGCATCCAAGTCTTCAACCTTTTGAAATAATAAGCTTTATACAAATAGTTTACGCCGCCGCAGCCGGTTAGTAATACCTATGTCTCGCATATAGATGACTTTTGTCGCAGGTGAGACAAAAATCATCTATACGCCCGAAAATGCATAAAGACCGGCACTTATACTTTTGAAGTTAAAATCAAACATCAAATACTTTTTGGTCGCGATTATTTTAAAAGGGTTAACATAAATTGTCTGACAATGGGTAACTCATATCAAATTATATTAATGAGCCTGGTTTTGATTATGCATAGATATCACAGTCTCCAATGAGCATATTGTAAGTTTAATTCAGTATGTACTGTCGAAACATTTTATCAAACACTGTTTTCTGGTATTGGGAAGTCTTCACTGGTGGCGTTTTCCTATCTGTTTTCGAAAGAATTTAGATAATTTCCCAGGAATAAATTACCCTAGCTGTATGTGGCAAAACCTTTCGGAATTTTGGGTTCTCAATGCTCTGAAAACTCGTACATTATTTGGCGTTTTTTAACTTTTGTTATTCGAGCGGTACTGATGAATCTCTTGTGGGCGAAACGCGCGTCTAGCGTAGAAAAGTTTAATCTTGTTATCTATGAAGATTTTATTTTACACTAGAAAAATATTTTATATTAATTAAAAAAAGTCAACGTCTACAAACTTGTAAATTTAATCTACAGATACCAAAAGAAAAAGATCAAAGACAGAGCATTTCTTAAAAGATTGAGAATGTACACTTTGCAATATGAGGTCTATTGGATATGAGTTCTACTATTTTCTCATATTCAGTCTCGAAGAAATAACAATGATACAAATTAAAGTTAATCAGAAACATTATTTGAACAATCCAAGCAAAGAGAAAAAATGAAAAGGCTGTTGTCCCTGGGTGATTTGTTCTTGCTAATTCATCTTTTCACCAAAAAATATTTAAAATTTGCTTTACATAATCCTGCGTTGCAACTATAATTAAACAATATATTCATATTCATATTGCCGATAACCAAGACAGATAGAAGGACACCGGATTTTAATTATTATTAAAACTATATACATGAATACAACTCATAAGCAATAAGCATATACACATAAAGGAAATCATTATGATTATAATTGATGAAATGCTCGTATACTGTGTTTTGAGTTGAATACCAAATAATGGAAATAAACCAATTATAAGTCAGTTGTTCCTAGCCGGTGGGATTCTCGAAGATTGAAGTTTTTTTTCCTTATTTTGAATTTAACTTAAAATACAGTGTACGAACATTTCATCAATTGTACTTATAATATTGAACCTGAAATGCCTTATACAATTTTGCCCCTTAGAGAACATATTCCCTCCTATTTAATCTGCCTTTTCGTTTTGTTTCAACTCCTGTCAAAAATAATTTTCTGACGTCAAGGCATCAGACATCTAGATTCCTTGTCTGACATCGAGGCGTCAGACATTTAGATATCTTGTCTGAAGTGTAGGTGTCAGGCATTTAGATACCAGATAAAAGCTACAGACATTTAGATTCCATGTCAAGGCGTCAGACATTTAGATTCCTTGTCTGAAGTAATGGCGTCAAACATTTAGATTCCATGTCAAGGCGTCAGACATTTAGATTCCTTGTCAAGGCGTCAGACTTTTAGATTCCATGTCAAGGCGTCAGACATTTAGATTCCTTGTCTGAAGTAAAGGCGTCAAACATTTAGATTCCATGTCAAGGCGTCAGACATTTAGATTCCTTGTCAAGGCGTCAGACATTTAGATTCCATGTCAAGGCGTAAGACATTTAGATTCCTTGTCTGACGTAAAGGCGTCAGACATTTATATTCTTTGTCAAAGCGTCAGACATTTAGATTCCTTGTCAAGGCGTCAGACATTTAGATTCCATGTCAAGGCATCAGACATTTAGATTCCTTGTCTGAAGTAAAGGCGTCATAATCAAATATACACTTCTATGCGCCTAGTAAGTATTTTGTAATTTGGGTTTATCATTATATACTTCATTGTATAGTAAAATGGGTAACTCGTTTTAATTCATTATTCAACACCTGAATCACCAAAGTACGGCAATATTTGTATGCAGAGCTGCATGTAAATAGTGCTTTAGTCAATTTAACTGCAATACATTTTCACATGAAGTAGAGCTTTCTACATTGCCAGTAAAACACGGAATAGTACCATATCAGTTTGCCATTTTTGTCAACAGGCGATGTGCTTATCCATAAGTACCGTATCTAATGATTTAAAAAAACTGTATTTGTATTGAATTGATTTACATTTTGTCAAGACAGGGCCATTTATAGATTACTATATATTGGCATTGGTTTTGCACCTTGTTGAAGACCGTACGGTGATCTGTTGCTGTTTACATCAACGTGTTTTGTCTCTAATGGAGAACTGTCTTACTGGTAATCTTACCATCTTATTTTGATATTGTAATTGCAAAAGTAATAGCTTCTTTAAAACGCTTGCCTTGCCGAGGCTGATTACGTACAAAAAAATGTTTGGCATAACAAAATTAGGCATACATTTTTTTTTGGAGGAGGAGGGAGGGGGGGGGGTATGTTGTATTATAGAAACCTTTGAAAAGCATTTTTACTTTTTTGTCATTTTAGTATATTAGATGTGGTACTAGTAAGAAGGTTATCTGGTTTTCTATCAGTGTAATTTTCTATTAGAGATTGTTTATTGATTTACTTTTTGTTCGTTTGTTTGTTTGTTTGTTTCGATTAGAAGAGTTTGGGTAATTACCCTGTATCTGTTCATTCATAGAGTAAATTAGTTTTTTGTGGCAATCTTATTCATTTTTACAAAGAACAATACTTGGAAGAGAGGCATTATAAGATCGATCGTTGTTTGCTGAAATAAAAAAAATCAACACTTGTAGAAGGAATATATTGACATGATATTACCAAATAAAATAAATGAAATATTGCAATGGGACGCTCTATTACTCTACCTCCTTCAAATAATCATAAACTACTGATAATTCAACAAGTCAATTTTATTGGTAAATTTCCGATATAGGATCAAAGTTTATCTGCCAAATTCTTCAAATAGTTTCAAAGCATTGCTATTTGATTGTATACCATATTTGTTGTAAATGACCTGCAACACTAAGTATGAAGAAAGCAAAGTTGCAATCACTATAAGACTAACAGTTTGAAAAAGGAATGGCAAAAACCTCTGTATTATTCAATACTCCAAATGAATTTGCCACCGTTGTTATAATAGTTCTTTTATCTGTTCTTGCAATTTATTATTTTTGACGCATTTGGGTCTCTCTGAATTTGCTTATTTCCCACCGGCAGCTTTCACATGTTTATCATATTTGTCCATAGCAATAACCCATGAACATAACTTCCATGTCGCCAGTGACACATTCTTCGCATTTTCAAGATTAAAATTCGGGTCACTGGTGTATTCCTTGCGTATCTTTGTCATTACTTCCGGCTGCAATGAAAAAAAAACGAAAATAGCATTTAAAAGTGTCATATATAATATGGTATTAATGTGTAGTTTTTATATTGATAATTTCGTGTTTGGCTTTGATTTGGCAAATCTTTGATTTTTTTGCTTAATTTATTCATAACTAGTTTAAACTCGGAACAATTTGGAGCTAGACATATTGTATAAGATACTCGTCATTGAGGTTTATTTATATAGAAATGGTATTATTTGAAGAAACAAGTGTACAAAACATGTATTAGCTCTTCATACATAACAAACTAGTGATTTCGACCACAAATTCATAATTTGTTGTTTGACAATAATTGTATACTGAATAGCCCCAAAATAGTTAAAGAGAGCAGTTTCAAGATGTGTATACAAATATAGAAAAGATAATTAAAGTTGAATTTACTTTTAAAAGGATCAACTGAATTAATGTTCTTCAATAACATCTTTGCCTTATAAGAAGTTCAATAAAATTTCAATTATATTGGGAAATTAATTCATGAACATTAAAGGGAATCACATGCGCAGAGTGCATATCTGTACGTTTTTATAATACGTAACACACCTTATATATTAAGTGGAGTATTGTGGATAATGTACGGAATCATAGAAACTTCGCCGCAGATTGGTAGCATGAATATAGAAATGTAGCCATATTAATTCTGCCATTTGTCAGATATTGATGTATATGAGAAACGGCTGTTTTACTCGTTAACTGGGCAAAATTGATCAAGAAATGTTCCTTCAACGTGGGCAATGCCCTTTTAATCTATTGATGTGTCTATAGGCGACCTCAGCAAAAAAAAACTCCACAATCTCCTTGTTGCAATGCTGTTTTCTATTGACAGCAAAAGATACAAGTTGTCTCTGATAATAATAAGATATTAGCAACTGATTGAATGGTTTATTTCTGGTCCTTAATATACAATTTAAAATTATACATTATTGTTCTATATGAAATAAGACGATGTGGTGTGATTTCCATTGACACAGCTATCCATTTAAGACCAAAGGACACATATGTGAACAAATACAGGTGACCTTTGGTCTACAACAATGAGAAAAACCGATACCGAATAGTAAGCCACAAAAGGCACCAAGTATTATTTCATAAAAAATTCTTAATTTTTTGTTTTGCTTTTTATGAAGGAAGCATGCAATTTTGATAACATGCCTATTTGGTAAAAAAAAAGTCAAAAAGCAACTTATGGTATGTATATTTGTTGAGGAAAGCAAGTAACTTATTATAACATATCCATTTGAAAAAGAACATATCTTCTGACATTGAAGGAAAATAACAACTGATGATAACATATATTTTAGGCAAAGAATATAAGGTAGGCAAACGGCAAGTAGGAACATATCATACAATCTGCAATGTTTTTGATAAAGTAGGTAATTTGCAACTTACTATAACACATCTTTTTAGTAAGGAAGGCAAATTTATCATAACAAATGTACTTATTCACTGATCTAGTACACAATTTTATTTGGGTGCCGGCTGAGGACATCCTCCGGGTGAGGGATTTTCTCGCTGCGTAGAAGACCCATTGGTGGCCTTCGGCTGTTGTCTGCTCTTTGGTCGGGTTGTTGTCTCTTTGGCATATTCCCCATTTCCATTCTCAATTTTATTAGTAATCAATATAAGGTAGGCAAATAGCAACTTATCATAACCAGCCTGTTTGATAAGGACACACAGAAACTTATCATAACCAGCCTGTTTGATAAGACGGACGTATAGAAACTTATCATTTCCAGCCTATTTGGTAAAACAGAAAAATAGCAACTTATCATAAAATGCATAATTGATTAGGATTCATCAAAGGGTAGTCTTTCGTTACAGGCCTATTTTATAAGAATGGCACATAGTAGCTTATTATGAAATGTATATGTAATTAGGATTGCGAATAACAGTCTTTCATAAAACGTCTATTTTCTAAGAATGACAAAAAGCAGCTTATTATAACATGACTTTTTGGCATGGAAGGTAGATGGCAGTTCATAATATTATATGCAAATAACTCAGACTTTAAAGAGTGATATTCAGTATTTACATAGTGAAAATCAAATTCTGTATGTTGATGAACACTTATCCGTTAAAATCATTCGTGTTTAGATGCTTTTGTATCCAATTTATAATTCCAACTGCTTTGATTCGAGCTCAAGTAGACAAAAAGCGCGCCCACCGTTCGGAATTACAAGCTTAGTTCTTTCAACTTATTCAGAAATACATATTTGAAATAAGGAGGCTGTACTATCAGAGATGAGTTATTTCAGTGCAGTCTACAATACGATTCATGACACTAATTGTATGCTCTTAGAAAAAGTGGTAATTTATAAAAAGCCAAGAACAAAGGCACATTCTACAAAAGACTCACACAAATATTTAAAAATTGAGCATGCAAACGAAAAACATCCCCTCGTCCACCAAAAAAACAAGAACAATAAACAAAAAACAAAAAACAGAAAATGTCAAAAAATGTCAAACAACACAAAACAAACAAAATAAAACTTGATAGAAAACAAATAAAAGCAGCAATAACTGGATTACTTAATTTATTTATGGTCTCATTATACTTACTGGTATATTAACCTTGTCATAAGTCTGAAGTTTCTGCAAAAACTCGTTTACATTAGCGAGTAGTTTCTTCGACTCGTCCCATGACGGAGTCCTACCCATTAATATACATACTGCTTGCATAACATTTTTAGTCAATACTGGTGGGTTCTTAAATGATTTAAGTTATAATTCTGTAATTGAACCTTTGTTTATCTAAAAAAAAACAAAAAATAGAAATGTCAATGATTTTTTCTGAACATTAAAGTATCATCTCTTAATATTTTTTCTTCATTTCCCTGGTACTGTTTCTCCAATGCACAGCAGAACACGCTCACAATATAGACACATCCGGTTCCACCGCCTTTGGATGGATAATTTAAATCTGATTGTTCAACAGTCACATTTTTTTCTCTCTATTTGTAGGAGTTGTTTTTTTTAATAAAGTTTTAAGAGTAGGTCAATGTAAGAAATTAAAAAAAACAGGGATTGAAAATCTTTAGAAAAAGTTTGAAATATTGATTAATTGATTGAATGATTGATTGATTGTTGGTGTATTGGCTATATTAATACGCTTTCATAGATTTATCCTTATAGTGTCTCAGTTTCTCTACATATGTTTGACATTCAAGCTCTTACATAGTTGGATTAAACATATTTGTTTTGGTCCGATATTTTGAACCCATAAACCGATTGCTTCAGATCTATAAATGAAAATGACATGAAATCAACAGAACTAAAAAGAGACAAATATATAGGCTATTTTAATTAATTGCTTGTTTGTTGTTTTCTCAACGTCCAGTTGCAAATATTTCATGCATTTTCAGGACAAAAACAAATTAACAGTAAATATATATTTGAGTTGCCAAGTGGGTCTTATTTTTTTTTTATTCTATACTTGGCAACAAAAATACATACTGTAAATCAACTAATTTTCGCGAGCGATTTATTTTCGCGACTTTCGCGAGTAGAAAAATAACGCAAATATAAATCGTCGCGAATATGTAAAACTTGGATCTTTCCTAATTAAAATACATCAAGAAAATTTGAAAATCGCCAACTTTAATCGCCGCGAAGTGGGCTAGAAAGAGCGAAACGCGAAATCAAGTATCCGCGAAAATAAGTTGGTTTACAGTAATTCAACTCCATGGAGTATACCTTCACATGGGATCTTACCTTTTTTAGATCTTTAAGAACGACGTTGACATCTGTAGAATCAACTTCTTGCGCAGCCATTCTTCACTTATTGCCAGCGACGGCTAATTCATCTATTAAGTGGTTGCTTCCCTTTTATAGTTCTTTTTACTATTTTTAACCCATGAGTAACATTGATATTGAATATCAAATTAAAAATCGAAATGTGAATTTCTCGCCAAATTTATTTCATATTTATGAATAATACTATTTAATTAGTTACGTAGGTGTGTGACATTTAACAAGCGGTCAGTTCAAGCTTCTGAACTATTAGGGGATTTTCCCGAACTATCCATATATGATACTAAAATTTAAATTAAAATATATTGTTATTGTTACATAAAGTCAAAATATAGACTTAACTATTTCGATACACAGGTAACCTACAAAATCGAAGTTAAATCCAATTGAAAAATAATACCTTTAAACACAAAAGTGATTATTAATGTGTTTGGTATTATGGATACGGGTGGAAAGCAACACTTCGATTTCATTTTATAGACTATTTCAAAGTACCATAGATGATGTCATATGCAGGCATATGTTAAAATTCAAGAGATATATGACACTCCAAGAGTGGCTGTGGTGTAGACATATGGATACCTGGCTTTTTGCTGCGCCACAGTAAGAAACGTTTACTTGACTTTATGGCTAATCATGATATGAATGCACAGCCAAGTTCAGTGATGAAGTGAAAATACAATATCCCTTGCTTTCGTTTTTCCTCATTCTCTACACTATGAGAAACCTTTGCAACAACTCATTATGAGATACAAACAAAAGTGTTATAAACAAACTTTCTGTTCTATAAATACATGTCAATTTTTCCCAGTTGCTGTCGTAATTTCAATACTTCACACCGGTCTACCGGTTTGTTGAATCAACTATTATATTTATTTCTTTATTTTTTTTCTCCTGGATGTGTATGTAATTTGTTCCTCTAGCCCTTAAAAACATTAACCAAAAATCAATCATTTTATATAGCGAGATCTTGATTGGTGAGTTTTCGTATTGTTTTGAATATTGTTTGTATAATTTCAGTAAGAATTTCGATGACAAAAATATATCACACTCCATTTTGATTCATCATGTTTTGCATTTATATTGCTTAAGAAATCAGATTTTTCTCGAACTCGAGCGTTAGCCACATTCAATATCAGAACACTAAAAATCATCGGAAAATTCATAGCACTGACGTACTGCTACCTCGTATGACCCCTATATCTGATGGCTGTTAAATAAATAGTACAGAAAAAGTACAAAAATACCGAACTCCAAGGCAAATTCAAACGGAAAGACCCTTATCAAATGGCTAAATTAAAAGCTCAAACACATCAAACGAATGGAAAACAACTGGTACAGTAATATTCCTGACTTGGTGCAGGCATTTACTTATGTAGAAAATGGTGGATTAAACCTGGTTTTATAGCTAGCTAAACCTCTAATTTATGTGACAGTCGCATAAAGTTCCATTATACTGACAACAATGTGTGAGCAAAACAAGTAGACATAATAGGTAAAAATGTCAAAAATAGGGGTACAGCAGTCAATATAGTGTTGTAATCTTAATCACTATTAAAATAAACAAATATGTCAAAAAAGAAACACAAAATGGCATATCGACAAAGCACATAAGCAAAAATGAAAGACAAGAATATAAAAAATGACGATAGCACAATAACACAAGGGCGGGATGTATAAGCACCGATCCACGCCAAAAGGATATTACCAAAAATGGACTAAACAGTAAAGATTAATGATATACAAAGACCAATAAAAGAACACTATAACACGTTACTTAAATGATAAATATAGATTATAACATGGCCTTTTTCATATCAGACCCCTTATCAGCCCTAGGTCATGTTATCAGCCCGAGAGCCGACATGTTCTTTTTATCATAAACTTTGAAACAATGCATTTGTTGTAATATTTGTTTTGTATTTTTTAATAATATATTTTCCTGATTATTAATATTTTCTTTTTCTCCAACTTTGTTATGTTTTACAAAAAAAAACGTACCATTGATTTACATTTTCCGGAATTTGCCGAATGACGTCGAACTGTCATATAACGTTACAGAAAAGCATGCGATAATAACCGGAAGCAGTTGATATGAAACGGAAGCAGTTGATATAAACCGGAAGCAGTTGATAACAAAAGTCATATCACACGGCTAAGGCAATTCTTCAAATTTAATGAATAAATATATGTACAAATAAGTTTTATCATGGAGTACAATTATACCATTATTTTCTATAAGTATATGATAAACAACGTCATTACCTAGAATCTGCACTTCAAGACCATCATGTATTATTTGAGTAGTATGATACGGAATATTTATCAACAAGGTCTTAAAATGAACTTTTTTTAGAAAAAGAACAGGACATTCTTTGACATAACCCTGGTTCATCAACTTTCTGCTCAGACCCTGGTGACATTTATAAAGTCTGAGTAGCAGCTGCAAACTCTTGAATACCGAACGAGTTGGGAAATTCAAAATTAAAATCGTCTCGTTTGTCATAGATTCTGGTACTCAGATGATCGCTTATGTCAAATTCGAAGTATAAGTCTAAAAATGAGGCAGATGAAGCCGTGTCTGTTGTTTTTGGAGGATATATGGAACCCAATCAGAAAAGTTTGGATTGTTAATGGAAAGAACATCATCAATATATTTGAATGTGAAATTAAATGATCTGGCTTCTTTGACCTTCTTGTTTTTGACAAGTGTCTGAAGGAACTCTGACTCATATGAAAATAAGAAGATGTCGTCAAGGAGAGGCGCTCAATTCGTTCCCATAGGAATGCCGACAATGTTTTGAAAAAGTCTACCTCCAAATTCAACAAATATGTTGTCAATAAGAAACTTCAGCATACTGATCACTTGTTCCTCTGTGTAGAATGTTTTACCTTTTTGTTCACTATGGTATCCCAAAGTAAGAAATTTATCATGTTTATCGCGTAAACTACCATTTTTATATTGAAAAGCATTGTGGATTATTTATTTTAGACGATTTTTTAATTTCACATGGGGAATGGTGGTATACAGGGTTGAACAATCAAAAGTTTTGATAAAATTAATTTCAGAGAAAGATCGAGATCTAAAATTATCCAGAAGTTCTTCGAAGTTTTTTAGAATCCACATATGGTTAATACCACTACGCGAGTAAATAGTTTCACAGTGTTTCTGTAGACCATCTTTCACTGCAGACAGAATTTTTGTCAAACTAATGGACAATTCCTTTGTAGAACATGCAGATGAGCCGGCAATGTACCGTTGTTTGTACGGAATTTTGTGAAGCTTAGGTATCCAATACAAACAAGGTAAGTCCTAAGATTTGCTGTTCAATGCAATGTTCATTGAATTCAATCTTTCTGTAAACTGTTAGAAATCGCTTGCATTTGTTTTCTTACGCCTAGTATCAAATATTTGCATAGAATTTAGGACGATAACATATTTAACAGTTGACATCAAATAGGACAACTGAAATGGAAAAATGCAAGTCACTGTCTGAACGCCGGATAATGAATACAATAAATGTAAAATGTTCGCAGTCCGAAAGAATGTCAAACAGACGCCCTACCGCGAATATATGTCTTTCTATTCCAACACGTACCTGTGTATATAAAAGTTAGATTTTATTTTGATATCATAAGGGTCACAGAAGGGCCAATTTCCTCCTGGATCTATTTCGCAATAGCGGCAAAAAAAATCTTAAAATCTTTACTTAAATACACAGTATTAGAACTCCACGAATGTACTTATAGATTCTAACAATGATATTGCTTATTCTAAAACAAAAGTTATGAATGCCTGAAGATTGCACAAAATCGCAAGTTTGTCAGAATTCGGCAAAATTTTTATATTTATCTCAACATGTAAAAGTGGGACATTCTCATTGAAACTTAAACCAAATTGCTGTTTAAAGTTAAATTATGTATTGTACTTCTATTACACATTATTTTTATTTTGGTGAGTGACGTCCTTACAATTTTGAAACAAAATACCTTCATCAGCAACATGCAGATCCGAATTGCATTCATGCAATTTTGTATCAAAATGCCTTGTTAAGTCGAATTGCTTTTTAGTTTTATGGAAATATGTTAAAATTGTTGGAAAATGTTTTAAGTATATGTTTAAGACTCTTTTAGTCTCTTTAATATCTAATATCCAGTAGGATTTGACACTTTATCTACTTTGACTCTTCGATTAACTGATACAGAGGAAATTGGTCATACCTCTTTGATTGAGCCGCCCCATTAAGTTTTCCGTGAGTAATCTTAAAAATAATTTTAGAAGAATTCAACATAGAATTGCACCTCATGCAATAAAAAATGAATCGTTATCCTGAAACGATCGGTTACATAGGACTCGGAGGTGCGATGGTGACGCTGAAGTGCGATGGTCACGCTGAAGTGCGATGGTCTACGCCGAAGTGCGATGGTCCGTTCGCTGATGTGCGATGGTCTATTTGACGCTTGACGGCTAGTTTAAAATATAGAGATGTGCAGTTATTATGAGAAGTACATGTAGATTTCTTCAATAGTTAGTAAATGAATTTACATTCATTATTGTATATGTCTGTCCTTAATTACAGTTGCATACTAAATGAGAGATCGTCCTCTTTATTTTCTTCATGTGGACATAATTCTGCATTAACATTGTATCTTTATTTCTTCTCATGAGTTCCTCGTTTACCGTAATAAAGTAATACGGAGAGTCTGTCTGCGGACCTGTATGTATTTACAGAATGTCAAGATCCATCGTCCGTAAAGAGGAACCTTTTGAAGATTTCGGAAAAGAAAATCGCTACAGAAGGTTAACTTTCCCCTATCCACCAATCCTCCCCGTGTCTCGTAGTATTCAAAGTTTATAAGCCCCTTATCAACTTACAAACATGGAAAACTGCTCTAACATACACATTGACTTCTACATCGACATGAAAAGAATTGAAAATGTAGTTTGTGTAGACCATCGCACTTCAGCGTTATCACCATCGCACTTCGGCGTAGCTATAAACAAGATAGCGTCACAATGCCACCATCGCACTTCAGCGTGATCAAAAACTCACTTCAGCGTCAAACCATCGCACCTCAGCGTGACCATCGCGGTTCGGAGTACCATCGCGGTTCAGAGTCCTACATATATATCATTGATAGATATTATATGCACAGGAAACTAGTACGGGTTATTTCAGACACAAATTCTTACAAGCATTTGACAAAAATTTATTGAGGAAAGGAGC